AATAAGCATTTGGATTATTAAGAATGAAATGAAATTATAAAGTAAAATTTGACAAGAAAAAAAATTTATTAGAGCACAAAAGTCTGTTTGTTATATAAGTTTTTAAGATATGAACAATTTAAGAACGAACAATTTTTTTATGTTATTCCTGATCGTGTTACATTATACTTGACCGCAATTTAATCATTGGTCAATTATCACATGTTGACAAGTTCTCCTGCATCCTGATACTGTTAAGCCTATGTATCTATGATTTTCCCTGTACCACATACATGAAGACCGTAGTGTTCTTGCAAAGGTGCATTTGCCAATGCTTTTTCCCTTTGATCTGTGGCAAGAAAATTTAAAGAAGACTGTATGACATTCCTGTGAAGCACATCTATCTACTTTTTTTTTTCTGGTTATACGATTGTCTAAGATTATTATGCCCAGTCACATAATACCACAAAAAGGGTTAAACCAGAAGCATTTTCCACTTTTTGTAAAGGCATCTACTAAATAAAGCCTGGTTTGGAGACTCAAAGAGTCATCATGACATTCTTGCAAGATGCACCTTAAAATGCTTTTCTCAATTTTTTTTTTCATATCTGATTTGGCATTACTATCATTGGTGGGTATAATGTTTTTCTATCTTTCCAGTTTATTCATAATTTCAACAGCCGTAGGTCTTTATTCATATCTGAATTAATACAATGTCTGACTAATTTGATATAACATTTTGGTGTTTTAATAAAAAATTTAGATCGTAATCTTTGACAAATCATCACCGCTAATTCAGCATCAAAATTATCGATAGGTCTTCGACCAGTTAATATTTCTATCATAATAATTCCAAAGTTGTAAATATCAGCTGCTTAAGAGAATTTCTCTCCTTTCAGGCTTCAGGAGCTAAATATGATAAAACACCATAAATGTGACCATGCTGTTTTTCATCAACCGATATTGATGAACCTAGATTAATATAAATATTCATTTTTTTTACTAATACCAAATTGATAACGGTGCCCTAGATTATGATTACATTGTTCATCCAATTTACTACCTTCGCAGATTTCCAATATTACCTGAATGATGAAAGAAAGTCTGGCTTGTTCATGCAACATACATTCTGGACACAGAGCAGAAAATTCAAGAACAAAGAATTAATGCAGATCATCAGATACTCAAATACAATTTCGTCATGAGTAAGTCCAGTGACTCACAATAATGTCCTGCTTTGTGACTCTGTTCATAAGCGGATCAGTTCATATCAGATATGTAAGTACGTACAGTACGTGTAATGATCGATTTGTATCTGCATCATCAATGATCATTATAGTAGCTGGTAGATCCACAGTTCGTAAGTATGTACGTACATACGTACATATAACTACTGAAAAAAAATTATAATGACGAACCAGCATAATTAATTAAAAACATATATAATCTGGATAATTTATCAGATTATTCGGATGCTCATCCATTTAATTTATCTTATCCAATTATTATCAGATATCGAATATCTGATGGATAAATGGATAGACGGTTTATGGATTGAAACTCTATAATTTAGATAGGTTACTTAATGATCTGGTTGGTATGATGCTTTTGCCAAATATCTCAGTCCTATCTGGTTTTTCAGTTTTCTGGTTGAT